TTTTTTTTTTTTTTTTGAGTTGGAGACTCACTCTGTCGCCCAGACTGGAGTGCAGTGGCCACTTCCGGCTACCGCAGCCTCAACCTGCTGGGCTCTGGCGATCCTTCCGCCTCAGCCTTCCAAGTAGCTGGAATTACAGGCATGCACTACCATGCCCGGCTGATTTTTTGATTTATTGTAGAGATGAGGTCTCGCTGCCCAGGCGGGTCTCGAACCCCGTGGGCTCAGACAATCCACTCACCTCAGCCTCCCAAAGGCGCAGGATTACAGGCTGAGCCACCGAGCCCGGCTAGAGCTGTAGTATTTTATGTTTGTACTACCAATGTCTTCACATGGTTTTTTTCCTCATATCTTTGATAACACTTATTATTTTATGTTTATGTTTTATTTATGTATGTATTTATTTATTTTTGAGCCAGAGTCTCTCTCTGTCACCCAGGCTGAAGTGCAGTGGCATGCTCATGGCTACCGCTGCCTCGATCTGCTGGGCTCAGGCGATCCTTCTGCCTCAGTCTTCCAAGTAGCTGGAACTACAGGTGTGTGCCACCACGTCTGGCTAATTTTTTTATTTATTGTGGAGACGAGGTCTCACCAAGTTGCCCAGGCTTATTTCGAACCCCTGGATTCAGGCAATCCTCTTGCCTCTGCCTCTCAAAATGCTGGGATTACAGGTGTAAGCCACCATGCCTAGCTATATTTTATTATTTATTTATTTATTTATTTTTATTTTTTTGAGTGGAGTCTCACTCTTGTCACTCAATCTGGAGTGCAGTGGCTCGCTCACGGCCACTGCAGCCTTATCCTTCTGGGCTTAGGCAATCCTTCCGCCTCAACCTTGCAAGTAGCTGGAACTATAGACTTACGCCACACGCCCAGCTAGTTTTTGTGATTTATTGTTGAGATGAGGTCTCTCCAAGTTGCCCAGGCTGGTCTCAAACCCCCAGGCTCAGGCAGTCCTCTTGCCTCTGCCTCCTAAAGTGCTGAAATTACAGGCTGAGCCATCATACCCGACCTTTATTTTTATTTATTTTTCTGATTCAGGTTCTCCCTCTGTCACCCTGGCTGGAAGGCTGTGGCATAATCACAGGTTACCATAGCCTCAACCTCTTGGCTCAGAGGATCCTTCTGCCTCAGCTTCCCCAATAGCTGGGACCACAGGTATGAGCCACCATGCCCAGCTAATTTTTTTTATTTTTGTAGAGATGAGATCTTGCTATGTTGCCTAGCTGGTCTTGAACTCTTGGCCTCAAGGGATCATCCTGCCTCAGCCTCCTAAAGGGCTGGGATTGCAGATGTAAGCTATTGTACCAGACCTTGTGTTTTGTTTTGTTTTATTTTATTTTATTTTATTTTATTTTATTTTTTTGAGTTGGAGTCTCAAATTGTCGCCCAGACTGGAGTGCAGTGGCTGCTTCCGGCCACCGCAACCTCGACCTGCTGGGCTCTGGCGATCCTTCCGCCTCAGCCTTCCAAGTAACCAGAATTACAGGCATGCGCTACCACACCCGGCTGATTTTTTTATTTATTGTAGAGATGAGGTCTCGCCTGCCCAGGCGGGTCTCGAACCCGCGGGCTCAGGCAATCCACTCACCTCAGCCTCCCAAAGGCGCGGGATTACAGGCTGAGCCACCGAGCCTGGCTGTGTTTTATTTTATAATAGCCATCCTAGTGTGAAGTGGCATGTCATTGTGGTTTTGATTTGCAATTCTGGAGCCTTGGAAAATCCATATAGACGGATTTTTTTCACTGTTAAATTGAAGGAGATGGACAAGGTTATGAAGGTTATGAATGTAGAGAGGAGTCCTGAGGCCTGACCCTGCAACACTCTAACATTTAACGGCTGGGGAGATGAGAAACAGCCAGTAAAGTAGCAAAACCAGGAAGAGAATGGTTTCTTGAAACTGAGTAAGGAATGTTTTGCAAGAAAGAGCTAGAGAACGATTCTATTAAGTTCTGCAGGTAGATCAGTTAAGATGAGAACTGAGAATTGACCATTTGATTTAGCAACATAGAAGCCAGTGATGGCCTTTACAAATTAATTTTGGAGGAATGGTGGGATGAGAGTGAAAGCCTGTTTATAGTGAATTTGAGGGAAAAAATAGAGGAATTAAAGACAGGGAGTACAGATAATCTTTTGATGAGTTTTGTTGTAAAGGGGATCTGAGAAATGTGTTAGTAGCTGGAGGACGGTGTGCGATCTAGATAGGAGATTTTGTTTCATGCCAGACATTACAGAATGTTCGTGTATTCATAGGATTGATCCAGTAGAGAGGGAAGAATTATTGATATGAAAGAAAGGGAAGAGAATGGTTGAAATGGCTTGCAGTTTCGGAATAGCAGAGCTATGAAGCCCTAACAGTCTTCTTTGCCCCAGGGATCTCTAAGCCATAGGCAGGCACAAGCAGGAAAAATGAAGAGATGGTAATCATGACTGTTGCTGCTTTGGCCTCTGTTAGGTTTAAAGATCTTAGTGGCAACCTCTGGTATTGTTTTATGCCAAAGCACCTCAGCATGGATCTTGTGCAAAGCTTACTTCCTTTTAATACCCTGCAACAGGCTATGCATGGTGACTTATGCCTGTAATCCCAGCACTTTGGGAAGCCGAGGCAAGAGAATTGCTTGAGCCCAGGACTTTGAGACCAGCTTGGGCAACATAGCAAGACCCATGTCTACAAAAAAAATTTGGAAGACTGAGGCAGAAGGATGGCCTAAGCCAGCTGGTCGATGCTGCAGTGGCCATGAGCATGCCCCTGCACTCCAGCCTGGGTGAGACTCAACTAAAAAAAAAGAATCAAAAAATTAACCAAGCATGGTGGCATGCACCTATCGTCCCAGCTACTCAGGGAGCTACGGTGGAAGGATCACTGAGCCCAAGGCGATCAAGGCTGTGGTGAGCCATGATCATGCCACTGCACTCCAGCCTGGGTGACAGAGTAAGACCCCCGACTCAAAACAAACAACAGACACAGCAGTAACAGCTGTGCCCTGTTTTGTTTTTTAGTTTGTTTTTTTTTAGTTCCAAAGATCCAAGGCTTAAGAAGAAGGTTTACCTTCCCATCTTTAGTCTTTCTTTTCCTCTGCGAACATTTTGACCTTGCCTGTAAATATGCTTGTGGCTGATACATGATATTAAGATTATGTTTTATAGCCAGGCTCGGTGGCTCAGCCTGTAATCCCGCGCCTTTGGGAGGCTGAGGTGAGTGGATTGCCTGAGCCCGCGGATTCGAGACCCGCCTGGGCAGCAAGACCTCATCTCTACAATAAATCAAAAAATCAGCCGGGCGTGGTAGCGCATGCCTGTAATTCCGGCTACTTGGAAGGCTGAGGTGGAAGGATCGCTGGAGCCCAGCAGGTTGAGGCTGCGGTGGCCGGGAGCGGGCGACAGAGTAAGACCCCAACTCAAAAAAAAAAAAAATAAAAGATTATGTTTTATCAAAATGCATGTCATACCTGTTTACACTGAAAGCCATAGTACATAGGCAGGACGAAAATCTGCATCACTTATCCCCTAGACCAGACTGATCAGTAAAGAAATTTAACTGCTCATGCTTTTATTAATTACAGAGAAATTTGATTTTTCTTAATTTTTTTTTTCTGAAACCTTCATTTCTACTTTAGAGCCTTAGCTCTTTAGAAGATACATTTCAGGAGAAGAGTAAGAGTGGACAATACTGGTAATTTCATTCTGTTGATAGTTGCTAGAGAGGCTTCTCTGGTAATGATGTCTGACTCAGAAGTCTATATGAGACATATTGTTGAACATACTAAGCTTAAAACATCTCAGGATAAGCAATAAAATAATGACATTTCCCCCATGAGTTAGGCATTGCTAGAGAGCATTTTCTGCCAACCCCCAACTGTTCCTTAAATTGTGATTGTGTAGCCAGCATAGTCTTAGTCTAGGTTCTGTGTTGGTTTTTAGAGAAAGAATAACAATCCTAACTATTCACACAGATTTTGTTTGTGATAAGAAATCCAAAGAAGTCTTCTAAATAGTTGTCAGAATTACTCTTCCAGTTACCTTTTCACCCTTAGTTGGTCTGGAAAGCATCCAGCAAAACAGCTTTTACATATTCACACCTTTCAGAATGAATCATCTTCCTTCCCTTTAGTGAGAGAAGGCCTCTGTGTACTGTTTCTGGCAGAGTTTCCACAAATGTTTTATTTTCCTTAAGTCTTCCAGAGTTACACTTGAATTGAACCTAGAGGGTACCCGATGTTCCTGAAGGAGACCTCTGAATTTCCCAACTCATAGTTGCTTATGTTAAAAAGAATGGTCAGTTCTTACTCTTCTGAGAGGATGTCAGGCATCCTTTTTTTATGAAGTTGTTACCACTATAGGAAATCAGAGATGACAGGCAGTAGCCTACATAATACTGTACTAAGGACTGCAGAAAGGTGAAGGTTTGTTCTTGCTTGTTGAGCATGATCCTCTCTAACTGTGAAATGGAGAGTACTATCATCAGAATGTTGAGGTGAAATCTGGGTCATCCTTTGATCTCTTTGACGTTCAAAATTTGTCCCAACTAGTCTGAACTTTTTTATTTTTTATTTCAGTTTCCAGACATCAGTCAAGAATCTGATTCTCCATTTGTTTTCATCTGCAAAGATCCTCAGGAAATGGTTGTGAAGTTTCCTATTAAAGGAAATCCAAAAATCTGTAAGTCATAGTCTTTCTTTTTAAGGTAAAAAAAGACTAGTCAAGTGTATTAGTGAGAAGAGGGGAAAGAGTAGAACAAGGAGTTCGATTTGTAACTGTGAACAATTGATTGAATTAGCACACTATCTTCAGACCAGCCTGTAAGTCACTATCTTTGATAGTTTGATTTTCTTATCTTTTTTTGCCTTTATTTTGTCTTACATCTCACTTGTTCAACTTTCTTTTTTTTTTTTTTGAGTTGGAGTCTCACTCTGTAGCCCAAGCTGGAGAGCAGTGACACACTCATGGCCACCCCAGCATCTACCTGCTGGGCTCTGGTGATCCTTCCACCTTAGCCTTCCAAGTAGCCAAAAACTACAGGCACACTACCACGCCTGGCTAATTTTTTATTTATTGTAGAGACAGGGTCTCGCCAACTCGCCCGGGCTGGTCTTGAACCTGCAGACTCAGGCAGTCCACTTGCCTAGGCCTCCCAAAGTGCTGGGATTACAGACTGAGCCACTGAGCCCAACCTGTCCAACTTTTTTTTTTTTTTTTTTGAGTTGGAGTCTCACTCTGTTGCCCAGACTGGAG